ACACAGATGCACAGACATGCACAAAGGAAAGGATAAAGCAAATGGAGCAAAATATTAGCGTCTGGGGAAACTGGGAATTCTCTATACTTTTTTGTTAGTCCAAAATCAAAGATAAAAAGTAGTCATGTGAGATATCATTTTGACATTGCTATTACTGGGCTGCGTTGGCATCAGGTACCCACTGAACACCTGTCTTCTTAGTTTCACAGTAACAGGTATGGAATGTTGAAGGCTGCATGAGAATCGGATTCACTTATTTACAAATTTAAGGCAAATGTAACACATTTTCCAATGTCATGATTCACCGATTAAAATGTATGCTAGAGGGCACCATCTATTTGCCAGGTGACAGCCAAAAGTCAAAAGTCTTAAAATGATCAGTAAGGAAAGAGTCTGTCAGTGACTACAAATAGAAATAATGTAAATTGTCAAGGTAATTTTAATGGAGCATTCAACCAAAAAGATGGTTCCTGAAAAATCAAAAAATTAAATTTTAGTAAAAGAGCAAAGAGCAATAGGGGGTTAAAAAGTAACTAAGTTAGCTTTTGATTGAAAAAAGTCAGGGGTCCTGAAATGTTCAATTTCTACCACTTCTGTTAAGGACCTCTATTAAAATAACACCTCAGCTTTTGGGTTTGGAGATTGGCTTCCAATCTCATTATCCTCCTTCATATTTCCCTTCTTTTAAACAATCAGGTTAAAAAAAAAAAACAACGCTGAAGGCTAGTATATGATTTTTTTCTCAGAATGACAAATCAGAAAGAAAATAACATTATATAGTTTTATTAGAAAGCTCTATTTACAAAAACAAAAACACAGTTTTCATGTCTGATATCTTTTGAAAAATTTTTAAGGATGACTTTCAGGGGGCTTCTGAGCCAGACTTCCGGGCTAGTGGTTCATGTTTGATATCCCTCTTTTTTTTTTTGCTTGCTTGTTTGTTTACTGAAGTCAGTTTACATTGTTCACAATGTTGCGTCAACTTCTCATGTTCAGCATATTGTATTTTTGACTGCTTCAAATTGCCCTTCCCTAAGACACCTCATTTTAGCTGTGACATGAATGCAGTTATCTATTGAGATAATGACCAAAACTTATTTTTGAAGCTTGTTTGATGCTGAAGAACAAACAGCTGTACTGACCCATGCACATAACACCCTGAAGGTTTTCCATGCCTGAGATTGTCCTTCAATAAAATTTTTAAATGAACATCTTAAAACATTGGTACATTGAGGCACTTAGTTCTAAGAAACTGCAAATCCAGATGCTTGGAGTTTAGTATGATGGATAATATCAAGCCAATCAAAACTGGATGTGAAAAGTTTGGCTACTAACTTTGTTCAGGAAAAAAAAAATGAACAAATGGAAGACAACAAATAACATAGAGTAGGGTCCCCCAGAGTTATGAACAAAGTAAAAAGCAATAAAATATGGGACAACATTGCTACAGTTTCCTCAGAATATGTTGTGACTAGCTGTGAAGACATTTAGATTTGGGATGATTTCATGGAACTAATTTTTATATTAAACTTTAATAAAGATATTATTTTAAAATACAGTTCTACTGTTTCCATTTAAATTTCACTTTCATTTTCATCCTGCTATGAAGAATTTGTTTTGAAAAACAAATTAAGTCCTTTTTCCCTGTCCATGTTGGAGACTCCTTCCTTCTGTGTGGCTGTGTTGATCGAGTTCCTTGTCTTAACCCTACTTCAGGATGACACCTGCACCCCGATGTTCATAGCAGCACTATTTACAATAGCCAAAACATGGAAACAGCCTAAATGTCCATCAACAGGTGACTGGATAAAGAAGAAGTGGTATATTTATACAATGGAATACTACTTAGCCATAAAAACCGACAACATAATGCCGTTTGCAGCAACATGGATGCTCCTGGAGAACGTCATTCTAAGTGAAGTAAGCCAGAAAGACAAAGAAAAATACCATATGAGATCACTCATATGTGGAATCTAAACAAACAAACAAACAAACAAACAAACAAAAACAAAGCATAAATACAGGACAGAAATAGACTCATAGACAT